TAAGGTCAAGTGCCTGCTGGGGGATGGCCTGGGTTTGCCGTTTTCCATGGCTTCAACAACCGGGGAGTATGGTTCTATGATCCCCATTTCACAAATGGGGAAACTGAGCTCAGGGAGGCTAAGTGATTTTCCCAGGGACTAAAACAGCCAGAATGAACAGTAGGTTAGTTGTCTTTCTTTGCAAAGCTATCCTCACCAGGTAAGCCTAAGCAGTTTTATCTGGCCATGGGATTTGGGTTTTGTCTGTTTTAAAAAAAAATCCAAACCACTTCTTGGAGTCTTTGTGAGGCTGAGATGTAGGGGGTTAGGGGCTGGCAAGGAAGAGCCTCTTAGAGCCTCACAGGAGTGTGAGCATGGGCCTGATATTTAAGAGTGTAATTGGGAGGCGGGTGGACTCAGGTTTGAGTTGCAGCTTTCCACCTGTCAGCTGTGTGACTGTGAGTAAGTCACCTCACCTCTCTGAGCTGGTTCCTCATCTGTACAGTGGTGGTGATGGCAGTACCTACCTCCTAGGGTTGTCATGAGGTTGATCATTGCCTGTGTGGGTTCAGCATAGTGCTGAGCAGTAGACTCAGAGCTTTGGAATACTTTGCAGTTCACCTGGTCAAGCTCAGTTCTGAGAGGGGAAGTGACTTGCCCAGGGTCACACAGCCAGCAAGGAGTAGAGCTTCCCAGTGTCCAGCTCAGTGCCTTGGCTGTTCCTAATACCTGAAGGCAGACCCCAGGGCTCGGGGTTTGTTTGTTTAAATAGAAATAGCCCTTGACATCATTTAATAACTAAATTAACTAAAGAAATAAAGGCAGGGAGGGAGCACAGATACACAGTGCTCAAGATTAAGCACAGATACTTGTGAACTTTATGCTGAGCTTCCTGGCAGCCAAAGTGAAAAGGGCTGTATGATAAGTTAGGTAGCTTTCTTTCTCCCTTTTCTCAGGGGAATTGGAGCTTTCCCAACAACTCAGTAATGCAGTGATGGGTTTCACAAGTCTGGTTTTTGTAACTTCTCCCAGCTGGCACGAGAATAGAACTGGGGTTCCCTGGATGAAGATGGTGGGGAGAGGATGTTCCTGGCAGAGGACTACATGACCAGAGACCAAGAACCAACCGATATGTTTGGGGGATGTGCAGGTGGCAGGCCCCACTCCATTCCCGAGCTGACCTCGAGGGTCTGTCCTGTCGTTTCAGTTGGGCCACGTGGTCCTCTCCCCAGTCTGGTTCCTGTACAGCCTGCTCATGAAGCTGTTCCAGCGTTCCACCCCGGCCATCACTCTCGAGAACCCGGACGTCAAGTACCCACTGCGGCTTATTGACAAGGAGGTCAGTGCAGGGTCCGAGGGGATCATGGGGCATGGCACCTCTCTCTCCTTGTCAGCATCACAGCATTTCTCGGGCACCTGCTGTGTGCTCAGGGAATGGCCCTCCCAAAGTAGGTCCCATTACCTGCCCACTTTACAGATGGGGAAAGCAAGGTAAGGTCCCTCTCTAAGGCTCCCAGTAAGTGACCGAGGGATCTCAACCCAGGTCTCTGACCACAGAGCGCATTTTCTGATCCCCACTCACCATCCCACAGAATGTCAGAGTGGGAGGGACCATGTAAGGACCTTTGGGTCCAGGTGCCCCTGTAACAGGTGGGAAAACAGAGGGTGAGAGAGGTCACACTGTGAGTTAGAAGTAGGAGTAGGATCAGGACCCAGGCCTGGGCCTTGTGGCTGTCCTGGTCCCGTTCCTTAAGGACAAGCACTTCTCCCTCCTCCCTCCCACCTCCACAGTCACCTGCTCAGGGCCCCTAGAGTCTTTTGTCTGTGCAGAGTCCCTGTGTGATCTTCTGATCTTGTGTGTGGCTCCATCTGCCCCGTGATGGGCTTGCTCTTGCCCTTTCTGTTTGATGCTTTTCCTTTTCGAACCTCTGATCAAGATTTAAAACCGTCCTCTCCCTCCTTTGCCCAGCCACCCACCCTGTAAGGCTGCTTTCTGCCTTGCTCTCCCTCTCAAAGCCCCTCCCATGTGCTATTTCTGGCCCCCGCAGCTGCCTCAGGAGGGGTGGGACAGGGAAAACTGAGTCATGGGGCAGACAAAGTTAGCACCTCCTGGAGGCCCTAGGTCCCGGGCTCTAGTCTGCGCCTGGGCTCCGTGCAAGAGCTGGGGCTCCTCTGACTGCTGAGATGTGTGTCCACAATTGTACTGGGAGTTCGGAGGAGACAAAAACCGGAGAGAGACCAAAACAAGAAGAAAAATCACCACTTCCTAGATGAGACCACACTTAATCCTTTCACTGTGTTTTATACACAACTTTTTCTTACTGAAATGAAATCATGATGTTTTGAAACCTTCTCCTCTTATAAATTTCTTTTACCTTTTTAATTCCAGAAGTAATGTAGGATTTGTGTGTGCTGACTATAAACACTGTTCGTGAAGTGTGAGTGTGCCCCTCCCCGCCTGTTCGCGGGTCAGCGTGAGTCTCTCCTGGCATCGCCTGCCTGTGTGCCCTGTGTGTGGACGCTCCGCTGTGTGTGTGCTTAGTTTCTCTTTTTTAACAACGTGATGTTATTACCCAGCTGTAAGGGACATGGACACCTTTTCATTCACGTCTAACCCAAAGCATTAGTTTTGATGACTGGTATTTTGTCATCGGCTTGTCGTCCAATGGACCCTCCAGGACCCTTTGGTTGGGCAGGTGGCAAATGTCCTAGCAGTTACCCTCCCCCGTCGCAGCCTCATGGTGGCTTTGCAGGGTCAGCGGGTGGGCCTGTTCTTGATACTTTCGCTGCGGCACAGGGAGGGGCCCTGGCCCTGCCCTCCCTTGCTCTCAGCTGGACTGGACCAGGAGATCCACAAGGTCACCTGAAGCTCTGAGTCTGTTGTCAGGTCATCACGGCCAGCAGCCTCCAGCATGCCAGCCCCGTGCTGGGCCCTCAGACATCCTTGTGACTTTTCTGTGCTGGGCTAGAGGTTGTCCAGCATAGTAAGCATCAGTATCTTTCCCTGATTTCTGTTCTTCCTCCAGAAATGCGTGGCATGTTGGTTTCTGACCTTGAGCCCCAGGACCAGTTGATAATCTTGGAATCCACTCACAAGGGGCCTTGGGGCTCTGTTTCCAGCTTTAGGCCTGGGCTGTGGGGCAGAAAGGCCCACATGCCACCATCAAGCCCTATGCCCCGAGTAGTGGCTGGGCACTGTCTTTCCTGAGATCCAGGCTACCTACCTCTGCTCGTACACTTCAGTGATGCTCAGAGTGACGCTCTGTCCCTTTGGAGAGATTTGTCATGCCTCCTCTGGGTGGTAATACTCTTGACCTTGGCTTGTGTGGGTGTGAGCATCTGTTGGACAGCTAGCTGCCCTCCTTCCAAATGGCCCCTCCACACCCACCCTCCTGCTGCCCCTGGTGCAGGGGAGACTGTACACGAGCCTTCTGGAGCCTAGGTCAGAGTCAGGGCACCAGGTTCGGTCCCCAGCTCTGACCACAGCTTACTGTGGGACACTCGCCTCCCCTGGCCCCCTGTTAAGACCAGGCTGCTTCCATGGCCCAGTCTGGCTCTTAAGTACCCTGGAGGGGAATGGCTGCCACCCATTGACTATGCCCTGGGTGCACACCCTGCACAGGGTGGAGGCCTGGCTTTGGGCTCTTGGCCACGGCTAGCCCCAGTGGCCTCCTGCCCTATGCAGCCCAGCCCCAGTCATTCTGTCTTGTTTCCCAGGGGCCTTCTAGAGCCCCTCTCTTGAGTCCTAGGCCTGGGCAGATGGGGCCCTGTCTCAGCTCTGCCCCATTCTGCCAGCCCAGTCCCCGAGTTCTTCCCTAGGACACTTCTCCTGCTGTGGCAGAGGTGGAGCCTTCCCTCCTGCCCCTGGAATTTTCTGGGCCATCTGGCAGCCTCTGTTTAGGATGCTGAGCTTGCTCCCTGCTCTGAGCACCTTGCTCTGTGGCCCTAGGCATGTCACTGCCCTCCTCTGAACCAGTGAGAGCAGAGGCACAGCCGGGGTGAGCCTGGCCTTTGTGCCCTCAAACACACGTGTGTAGGTTGTCCACATTTCGCATCAGCATCACTTCTCTCAGTGACACTTGGGCTCTAGGGAGGGGTGGGGGCTCTGGTTCTGGTGGCCCCTCTGCCCTGGGCACCGTCCAGCAGCTCAGGCTTCTTTGCAGGTCATCAGCCATGACACCCGGCGGTTCCGCTTCGCCCTGCCATCACCCCAGCACATCCTGGGCCTCCCCGTCGGTGAGTGCAGCCCCTACCCAGCCCACATGGAGCTGCTGCTAGATCAGAGAGGTAGGGGCTTTGCATTTCAGTTCGAGCAGCGAGGGCTTCAAGGAGGAGGTGACGCCATCCTGGGCATTCGAGGATGAGAGTCAGAATGAGAGGGGAAATGC